AATGCCAATTTACTAGAAGAAAGTATTCTTGTGTTGAGGGAGTACTTGAGTGGAGGCCCAATGTCCTTCTGCTACCTTAATACCAAACCTATAAATGTAGGCTCATAGATCTATTTCCCCATCCTCATATAATATATTTGTATATGTACATGTCTTTATCTAGAGCTCTATATCTATCTGCACTTTTAAAAATGATTATTTGAGGACAATTAAGGTTTTTCAAAGTGTCTAGTCTCTATTTCCTTACGACTTTCCAGCCAATTGCTCGTCTCACAGATTTCTGGACTACACGGACATGAAAGTCACTGCTGACACCCCGAGGGCACCCCAAGCCACGGCTCTGCTTTCTGAACTCCACCAAGCCAAACTCCCTGCCCTCAGTCACTGCTGCCTCACCGCCACCCTGGACACAGGGCAGAACTGCCCCGTGGGTTCTGGAGACGGCAAATCTTTATAGGAGCAAACTGCCGCATCCTTCTTCTTCGGAGAGGCTGGTGGGCTTGACCCGCCAACCTAGCAGTTGGCAGCCCAATGCCAAACCCACTATCCACTGGGCCTCTTTTCCTGAGTCCTGGGGCTCTGGGATGCTAACCTCTGTCCATAGGCAGTGTTTAAGATCGTGTCAGCTTTTAGAAGCAGCGTGCACTTTAGTGCTTGGCTTTCACTGCTGCCATCTTTCACAGAGCACATTCTCCATTCTAGAAACTGGGCGAGATGCTGGGTCACACGATAAAGGAGATGTAACCCCCCACCCCAACCCCCACCAATGGTTGAGGGCTTAGTACTTTACCTTCCCTGTGCAATTATATTTCATTACTTTCTGATATCAGAAGAAACAAATGACTTAGTCCTACAGGTCAAATCTGTATTTCATTTTAAGGTGGAAGGGGGAATCTCCTCAAAGCATTTCCTTCCCAGGAATCTCAGAAGAAAGCTTGAAAGGCAATTTAAGCTAGGCCAGTGTTGCCATAGTCTATTTCCGCCAGAATTCTCTTTCAGAGATTGGTACCACGTAACTCTGGAAGGAGGTACCGTGAGCACCCTCTGACGGGCTCGGACTGCTCACTCACCGGCTGATCTGTCGACATCATCTTGCAGAGACTAGTCTCTGAGGCGGCCGCACGACTCGACTCAGAGGGACTCGTTCAGTAGGTTCCTTTCTTCCTCAAGCGCTCGACTCCCGTGAAGAGCTACCGTCCCAGAACCCCCCAGGCGCAGTCCCACCCTGTCCTGCAGGGTCACTGTGAGCCACAAGCCACCGATGGCAGCCAGTGTCCATGAGGACTCCATGTGGAGTCCCAGTTCCTCAAACAGTGACAAAGCCACAGCTTCTGAAACTCAGAGGGGGCTGTTCAGCGCGGTCCTACAAGGTTGTCGGGAGTCGGAAGTGTGACTTGACTGCAGGGAGTGGACGCGCTGTTGCCATCGGTGTTTGTATGCCAAGAGCTCGTGCCACGCGGGTAGATACCAGCGCCTTCCGCCGTGCCAAGTAGACTGGCCATTCGTTTCTGAAGAACCGAGTGATGCATTTCAACCAAGAGAGCCGCTTGTTTTTAATTCAGGAGCTTTTCAAAGAGGCCTTATTAGGAAAACGGGGCAAGCTTAGGGACAACATTTTAAAGACAGATCTGGAAATAGGGTATAGCGGCGTGCATCAGGCTTGGATGTACTTACAGCCACCTGCTTGTATGGGGAAGACGCCCAGGGCTGTCGGCGATTGTGCTTTGGGCTGGTAACTGCAAGGTGAACAAGCAGTTCAAACCCACCAGCTGCTCCGAGGCTGAAAGAGAAGTCTTTCTATTCTCATAGTCTTGGAAACCCACAGGGCGCTCCTACTCTGTCTCCTAGGGTCTCTGTGCCCCTCGATGGCAGAGTGAGTGGGTTTTGGTGGGGGGGGGCAGATGCAGAGAGGAGGGTCGTGGGGGGGAATAGTGAGCGAGCCCTCCTGGATCCCATTTTTACCTGGCTTGCCTTTTCACTTTTAACCCCTGGCCTGACTTCTCACTCCCAGTAAGCAAAGGCTTGGTTTGTCCTAAAATAGAAAACACTCCGCCTTCTGGAAGCCAGGCCCCTAAAAAGCCCTCAAGGTGAACAAGAAGAAAGTCGGCCGCCCCTACCTGGTTTTCTCCAATGCTGCTTTTTTGGACTGCCTCTCCCAGATGCCAACTTCTTGGAGATTTTTTTGGGAGATCCTCATCCTGCCAGCTTTCACTGAAATCAAACAGGCACCAACAGGACCGTTACCATGAGAACGGGCAGCAAGAGACGGCTTGCTTTGTTGTGTGAGACACCATTTCAGATGGGAAAAGAATTTCAGAATTTATTTGAAATTGCTTGCAAACTTGCATTTAAAACAATGCAACAAGACCAAAAACACCTACCCCGAATCACCCTATTATGAGAAAAACTGTATTTGGGGGGAAGCAACTGTATTTGGGGGGAAGCAACCCCGAGAAGGGCCTACCAGGGGTCCTCAAACTTTTTAAACAGGGGCCAGTTCACTGTCTCTCAGACCCGTTGGAAGGTTGGACTATAGTTTTAAAAAAAACTATGAACAAATTCCTATGCACACTGCACGTATCTTATTTTGAAGTAAAAAAACAAATGGGGCAAAAACACCTCGGCGGGCCGCATGTGGACCGTGGGCTGTGGTTTGAGGATGGCCCTAGACCCACGTCCTTCTCCTTAGTTATTGTGAGCTGCCTCTGCTGCTGGCTGGAGCTGTGGAGTGACTTGACTCATGGCGCCGCCCGGGTTTCGGAGTGGAACTAACAGCTCCATCACGCTGGCGTGGCTGTAATCCTGACAGCACATTTCCTGCCACAGTGCCACCCGCTGGGTTACACATTGATGTTGGGTTACCAGTGGTGAAGGCACTCAAAAGACTGAGGTGTTTGACATCAAGAGCACCTCCCCCCCCCCTTTTCCTATTTGTTTACTGCTTATTCTGAAGTGACTTTCAAAAGTCGGGTGCCCGGCATAGCTCAGGAAGCCCACAGACACCCTCCTCCGTCCTCTCAGGATGCTCCCTGAGGAGCGTGCACTTGGGCTGGTCCTCACAATCCCCACACAGTCAGCTCACGGATCGCAGCCTTCAGTGTGGACTGTAACAATGTATAGAAGACCAAGTCCTCCCCATGGGACCCATAGGTCACATCACAATCAACAGCAAGAAGGTTGCAGCTGTCAAGGGTTTTGTCTTGCTTGGATCCACAGTCGATGCTCCTGGAAGCAGCAGCCAGGACATCAAAAGATGCGTTGCTTTCGGTACATCTGCTGCACACGCCCTCTTAGAGTGTTGAAAAACAAGGCGGTTGCCTTGAGGACTAAGGCGCTCCTGACTCAAGCCATGGTCTTTTCAGTCACCTCATCTGCGTGTGAAAGTTGGACAGTGAAAAAGGAAGACCACGGGAGAGTTGATGCAATGAAATGATGGTGCTGGAGAAGACTACTGATAGTGCCCAAAGCACAGACAGGTCTGTCAGAAGAAGTACGGCCAGAATGCTCCTAAGAGGCAAGGCTGGTGAGACTTCGTCTTATATACTTTGGACATATCGTCAGGTGAGACCAGTCCCTGGAGAGGGACATCACGTTTGGTCAAATGAGGGGCAGCAAAACAGAGTAAGGCCCCCCAACAAGATGGATTGACGCAGCAGCTGAATCAATGGGTCCAGGCTTAGAAGCAATTGTGAGGCTGGCAGGTGCAGGACCATGCAGTGTTCTCTTCTGATGTGCACAGGGTGGCTATGGGCCGGAGCCCACTCAAGGGCACCTAACAACAACAACCACAACCACAACAACAACACCAGGCTGCTAAGTGACTCCAACCTATTACCTATCAAATGCTTGAAGGGTCTTCACCATTGTACTGTGCCTGCTATTGTAAAAGCCAACCAATCAGAATTTTCTTCTTGTAAATTCCTCCTCCTCAGTATTGAAGCTCTGTGATGATTTCCTTTTGCTGTGGTACTCTGGTCAATCCTTTTGTTCCTTCAATAAATGCTTTAATTCAGTGGTTCTCAACCTGTGGGTCGCGACCTCTTTGGGGGTTGAACGACCATTTCACAGGGGTCTCCTGATTCATAACAGTATCAAAATGGCAGTTATGAAGTAGCAATGAAAATACTTTTATGGTTGTGGGGGGGGGGTCACCACAACATGAGGAACTGTATTAAAGGGTCACAGCATTAGGAAGGTTGAGAACCACTGCTTTAATTTAATGGAAACCTAGCTTGCTCTCTGATAGTTTTCTAAGCAGATACAAACAATTGGCTTTTCCCAGGGACTCTAAGAGAGGGCAATACTGAGACTGAAAAGGCGGCAGGTCACACCTAGGCTTTGGAGGAGGAGGAGGAGGGAACAACAGATTAATTTCAGCAAATTACTGTAAAAATTTTTTTTTCTTGTTATCAAGCCAACTCAAACTTGTTACTCTCTTCATGATAGCAAAGATAATATGACTCTTCCATTCCCCCACAAAATTAAAATGCATGACTTCCCTCTCCTCCCCCAACCAAGGCTTTCCAAAGCCAGATCCCGAGAGTGCTGAGTGGCAACCTGGCCACCCACTGATTCAAGAGGCGTTTAATTCAGCAGAACTGTCTTCAATCCCATGACATGTCCACCTTCCATTCCAGACCCCAAACCTTAGATGTTGACCAAGCTCAACTGTTACTAATGAGTAATTACACCACATTAATAATCCTGCCATTCAAGAAATCAATTAGTGTTAATGAGGCTCAGATGACCTAACAACTGGTGAGGGGTTCAGTGATGTCAGATGAAATCAATTTTTTTGAAAAGGAGCAACCCACGTCAGATCGAAAGTGCAATCAAATATCTTTTTCTCTCTCCCAGGAAATTTGCACAACTGAAATCTGACAAGCTCAAATGAGAAAAAGCTAAATGGACATTGATTTGTTTGAATCTGTTCATTCTTTTTTTATGGATAAGGCAGATTGACAATTTTCTAAAACTGCCTCCTATACCATAAAGAATAACAAAACTGTTTCCCAATGCTCATGTGATTGGACTGCATCACTGTTCTTTTCAAATATTATTTAATTAATGCTTAAATTATGTAATACAATAATAAAACACACAACTCAAAAGATGCATGCTATCTAGTCTCTTTACCACCTGCCCCCTGCAGTTTACCGCCAGATGCTACCGATGTACATATTTCTTAAGTATTCATCCATAGAATTTCTTGGTATAGACATATATTGCTTTTTAAAAATGGTAGGAGGGGAAAAAAGGGAAGCTTATACCAAGGGCTCAAGTAGAAAATGTTTTGGAAATGATGATGGCAACATATGTACAAATATGCTTGATACAATTGATGTATGGAATGTTATATGAGCTGTAAGAGCCCCCAATAAAATGATTTAAAAACAAACAAAATAATAAAACAGTACTCAAAGATATAATTATAAGGGCTTATGAGGAAGAAAGTTTTATAATATTGAAAACTGTACCGGCGAGAAAAAGACTGCGAAAGTTGGGTATACTGTAAAAGGCTGTAAAAGTAAGGAATGTTTTCCACTAGGAAAGTGCGCCTGCTCATTCTCCAAGGGAAGCCAGGGCGGTCATCTGAGGAAGTAATTGGGAAGCAAGCCTCTCCCAGATGCCAGACAGCTCCGATCCTGCTTCTCAGGCTGCTCTTTGCTCCCCAAATACAAAGAACTCTGATGTGAGTCCCTTGAAGATACCAAAACGTAAGGAGCACAGAATTCCTAAGGTAAGAGAGAGTGGAGACATTGCCTTCAGTCGTGTAGAGACCTCGAAGGAGCCGATGTTGAGAAAGAGCAGCTTCCCAGTGGGGTGGTTTTGGGTAATGGAGGTGTCTAGGACTTTGTAGCAATACCTTTTGTTTTACTAGCCCCAGCCCTTTGGGGGCTATAATACACTGAGGCTTAATTTCTTATTCATATACACATATGTATGCATATGCATACACAGAGACAGATACACCTACAAATATGCATAGCGTGCATGCATACACACATACATATGTTACTGCACTGTTGAATGTTGCGGAGCCAATTCTGGTGCTATGGGACAAGATAGAACTGCCCCCAAAAGAGGGCCCCAGGCCAGGGGTTTTCTCGAGTGAGTAGAATATTCGGTGGGTTCACACCACGTTCCCTTCCGTTAGAAGTCAAGAGCTGAATCACAGTGTGAGATAGTTTATTGTGCCAGCCTGGCCCATAAACACACACGGGGTTAACTGAAGCATGGAGAGAACACACGGTGCCACCAGGGTGCCCGTGTATTTATACCCACTCACTGATAGGCATCGCTTCATGTCCACAATATGCTGTGTGAAACATGAAGTTACGTGATGGGGATGTTGTACAAACATAGTGTTCACACTGCTGCTGCTGGACCTGCCAGGAAGGAGAAGCTGGAGGACCATCCTCCTGCCCACCGGGCAAGGTTGTAGCATCCGTGCCCTCAGTCATGGGCTTTGCCTTACCTGCCTGTATCTGGATTTGGGTTCTTTAAAACCATTCAAAGCCAAACCAAATTCATTGACATCGAGTTGATTCTGACTCCTAGTGACTCCTAGCGACTCTCTAGGGCAGGGTAGAACTGTCCCTGTGAGTTAGTTAGTTCCCAAGACTGCACCTCTTTATGGGAAGAGAAAGCCTCATTTTTCTCCTGCAGAGCAGCTGCCAAACGTCGCAGTTAGCAGTCTAATGAGTAACCCACGGTGCCACCAGAGATCATTAGGTTGAAATGGTAAACAGAAGAAAATCTGCTTTCCCCTAAAAAAACCAAACCAAACCAAAAGCTCATGGGGCTGTGACCACCTATGCAGTCTGATGGTGCCCAAACAGCCTTCAAAGGGACACACACGTGTCTCTATATTCACATAGATCTTTCTAGCCCTGTTTCGCTGGGCTTCAATCATTACAGATAGATGTTGAATTTTATTAAGTGCCTTTTCACCAGATGGATAAGATCATCTGCCTTTTCTTCTCGTGTGTGTTAATATGGTTAGTTGTATTAATAGATGTCGCTGCTGCATCATTCATGCATTGATGGAATAAGCCTCACATAGCCCTTTGGAATGATAAAGTTGTTCTTTTATTGATGATAAAAGCTTCGTCTTTGCAACTTGTGATGTTAAATTCATTCCAGTTGTGCCTGGGGCTCTGATCAGACTGGCACACCCTCTCCCATACCTGGTAATTGTTGTTGGCAGG